ATATATATATAAACCTATTATACATATATATATGTATAATAGGTTTATATAATGTAAAAATACATATAGTAAATGAATTCATATTTGTATTTTTATGAATATAAAAAGGAGAAGCCAATAATTACCATAATTAAAAAAAATAAGATAGATAGAAAATATGAGGCAAAAAGCGGTTTAAAAAACAATATCTCTGTTAATTTCTACACAAAATCAAAGAAATTCAAAAGTTTTACTGAAGACACAAGAAAAAGGAGTCTGAATTATTTAAGCTGCTGGTATGTCTGCTGGTGCATGTGACAAACAAACTGAGTTTCACTGAATGATGTTTGACTTCATCACTATTTGATCAACATCAGTTTCAAATCTTTTTATTTTATATTTTTAACAAAAAGAAATTAAAATCAACCATTGCACTGGAGGTTAGTTTTCTGTCCTACAATAAAGTTTTCTGATTTATGACAAACTTTGAAATGTAAAAAAATGTAATATTAGAAATATACAATGAAATAATATTTTAAAAATAGCACTTCACCATCCTGAAGCAAAATGCTGCTTGGTCTCAGTGATGCTACACCTTCAGCTAAAACTGCTGAGAGTACAAATCATTACTTGGAAAAACTTCTATTTGCTTCTGTAGGAGTTCCCCTTGTGTTACAATATTTTGCCATCGTAACGGCTGCTGATCAGTTTGCTTTGACTTCTACTTTTTTTTTCTTTGATACCCAGATGTTGCTTTGTTTCTGTGATGTGGAGGCACATCCCACTACGAAATGGACTAAACTACTGTTTATCATTTGTAAAGGGTGAAGGCGGTATGAAAGAGCCGTTACCTTTTTGGAATTATAGTTCAGTCACTCCACCACGCCGTTCTAACCATAACAGTGATTACTTGGAAATATTTTTTAAAAATGCAAACAAAAAGACACTTTCCATCCCTACATTACCACGGTTCCTCATATCAATGGGTCTCTAAATTCTCAGTGCCACTGTCCCCACACTCTCATGCTCCTAGTGAGAGGTCAGTTAATTAGTCACTAGCAGAGGTGCTGCTGTGGTGACAGATGTCAGTTGTGGTCATTGCTCTCATGTGACTTCATAAAGATTCATTATCTGTATAATAGTTACTCCCATACTTCATGAAATGCTGTGAACCCTTGAAATAGCACATTCTTTAATTATATATGAGAAAACTGCATCATAGTTGATTCAGTTTATTCACCATTAAATCATATTTGAATGATTTTCAAGCTGAGTATGTGATTTCTCAAGGTGTAAACACAATTAATGAATATGCTGTTTGGGTTCATAGACTTAAAGCACTTCATTAGGTTTGGAGGGAATACAACTTATTTCTATTTTAACCATCTTGAGTTCTAATTTTAACATATCTACAATATCAGATTTGATGATCAGTGTGTTTGTTTCTCAGCCAAAGATCCTAAAACCTAAGGCAGTCCTCTTCAGGCACAGCTACATGACCTCTGTGCTGGCAGTGAGGCAGAGAGGCTGGATGGTTTTCTTCATTGGGACAGGAGACGGCCAGCTCATTAAGGTGTGTATGAAATGAAACATCTAAAGTACTTAGTTTACCAGCCTGATTTTAAGATGCCATTTCATCATCCTGAAATGCACTGGCTTCCTCACATGAAACAAACATGAAAGATAGTTCTGTCACCAAAATATATTTGTTGAATTAGCATCTATTCATAAAATCACGAACAACCATTGACCCAAGATAAATAAAAACCAAAACTTTTTAAGAGGCAAATTATTCATGATTTTTTAGCTTGCTTATTTGAACTAGTCTCATTTTATTTCATTGTTGAAGTCTGCTGCAAACTGCAGTCACTTGTGGTCCCTGTAGCTTCTTTGTGTGCTCTTAGTCTCACTGTGAGTTCATCTGCTCACACACTGCAAGGTTTTGTTTGTGGAGTGGAGAGATGAGAGCTGTGACCCTGAAAGCTCAAAAAGCTTCAACAAGTATTTTATTGAATATGATGAGAGCGAGGTTGCATGTTCTCCCCGTGTTTGCGTGGGTTCCCTCCGGGTACTCCGGCTTCCTCCCACCGTCCAAAGACATGCAGCTTGTGGGGATAGGTTAATTGGATAATCCAAATTGTCACTAGGTGTGAATGTTCGAATGAATGTGAGTGCGAATGGTTGTCTGTCCCTGTGTGTTGGCCCTGCGACAGACTGGCGACCTGTCCAGGGTGTACCCTGCCTCTCGCCCTATGACAGCTGGGATAGGCTCCAGCGCCCCCCGCGACCCTGAAAAGGATAAGCGGAAGCGAATGGATGGATGGATGGAAGGAAGAGATAGAGAAACAACATCTGCAGCTGATGTCTCCAAACTATTCTGAACTTGGTGATCATTTCTCCTTCTTCTCCTAGCTGCACATTTGAAGATGACTGCACAGATTCAGACTGGCTGTCCATTCCTGATGAGTCCCAGCACAAAATGATTTCCCACAAAGTTGAAAAGGACACAAACGGACAGGTACAGCTTACAAACACACTCGGGACTGTGATCATTTGTGGCTTTCAGGTATTTCTCACACATGTTCTTCATTTTCAGATTTTACTAAAAATCCACACACACTTGACTGTGGGCCAGGAAGTGTCGTCCAACTTTACCTGTCAGTTCACTGCAAGGTCCAGCTCGATTTGTGCTTTGAATAACCCTCCTCCACAGTTCCCACAATGCACCTGCATCCTGTCTGATCGTACACTTACTGCTGATGGTCAGTGAGTTTTCATAAATAATCCAACGAATGAAATACTTTGCAGTCAGACCTGCTTACTGATCTGCAACACTTCCCAAAAAGTAAAATAGAAACATTACAGAGCTGACTCTGACAGATGAAATATTCTTTACTAGTTGACAAATTTGAGCTGTTCGTTATTACAAACGGTTGAAACTCATTAAACATATATGTCTAAAAATTAGCAATTGAAGGCTATGACACTGATCGTGTTTTTTTTTTTTTTGTTTTTTTTTATTTAACAGGTCTGCATGTCACAGTGAAATTTAGACTTGGTTCAACACAACTGTCAGAACAGCTGAGGTTGACTAACTGCTCTGACATCGGTGGACCACCAAGTTCAGTCTTGTAAGTCCAATCAATTATAAAGATTATGAAGATGGATCACTAATAACAAAACATTATGTGTCATCACCAAGTAAAATGTATTACTACTGAGGAGTCTCTTTGTTTTATGTTGTATTTTTGGACATTATCGTTTTCTTGATGATTTCAACACTAATATGTGATTGTTTCTCTTCAGGTGTCAGCAGTGCATCAAAGCTGGTTGTGGATGGAACACAAACAGATGTTCCTGGGCCGATCAAACAGAGATCAATGTAATAATTCATGCCTTTAGTTTACCTAGTTCAGGTTTTTCCTCATTAACATATTTGTTTTAATTTTATTTCGCTGATACCATTCTACATGTTTAGGCTATTTTGATGTATCTTTTTTAAATCTACTTTTGGGAATAAGAAAGTCTATCTTATCATATAATTAAGTCTTCCACTTTAAGTTTATATTACTTTTGAGATTTTTCAATCATTATTAAGGGTGGGTTGGTCTAATGTTCAAATATCTATTGCTTCTCAAAAGCAGCAATATTATATGCAATAATATGTTAAGTGATTATGACAACTCACAAATACCAATTCAGTTGCTTGACAAAAATCGTGATTAAATTCTTTCCTTGTAAATAAGACAGAACTTCCATTCTCATCAGTCCTACATAGTTTCTTTAGACAATGACAGTAAACCTGCCATATTGATTCCCTCTGCTTCCTCCTGCAGGACAGCGTTTGCCAAAATGTGCAGTCTGGGAAGAACTTCTCTGTGAGTCTGAACCTCAGTCCTCAAACTCATTGTTCCTCTGACACCTTATTCGTGTTCAAAGCTTCCAACATCAGCTGATGGCCGTGGATTAAAGCTGATCATTTTTTGTCTTACTGTCAGATCCCAGAGATCTCCTCCATCACTCCCAGTGTGGTGTCTTTCTACGGTAGAAACCACGCAGTGCTGTCAGGTCGTAACCTCGATAATGTGACTGCAGTGAGGATGCAGGCCGATACTGACTGTACTCCAAAAGAGTGAGTCACTTTACACTAGTGATGTGTC